CGTATCGCGCTGCGTAAACATAAAACCATGTCTGCATTTGTGATCGGAGAAACAACAAACAACAAGCCTACTCTACACTGCTCAAAACTCGCGTTTGAATCATCATTGGCAAATTATTTAAATATAAAAAAACGTACTTACAGGATGTGAGTCCGAAGCGCCAGACTGTCCTTGCAAAGTTGGAACTGAACTCTTAACTTTTATAAAGAATATCTCATTGGATTTGAGACTTTAGTCTTTGCAACTTTACAGATCTTCTTTATGCACCAAGAGCTTGTAACACTCCAAAGAGAAAAGAAAAATTGAAATCGCATCATATGACCCCTTTAAGGGTCAATTTGCACTTGTAATAAATCCAAAATTATCAGCCAAAACTGCTTTCTTAACAGATAATAAACAGTTACTACTTTCAATGATTTTACAACATTCTTGATTAGATTTCAAAATTGTGTAAAATAAGTTATTTTTATTTATATTTTTAATTTTACACCATTAAATTGTATTATGCTTATTTTGGCATTATATTTGCTATTGACCACCATGCACCTAAAATATTGCCAGTGACATTGTAAGAACTTGATTTTTTTTTTTTTTAATGATTTGTTTCTTATGACTATTCTTTTAGTGAGGAAGACTACCTCTTCCTACTTCAGAATGTAGGTATCTTCAATATATAATGTAACCCCACATTAATAGACGCTAATAAAACACTGAAAACACTATTAATTTAATACCAGTTAAATGTAATTTTTAGCTAATTTCAAAATGAACATCAGTTTTATTTCATAGTGTACACAGCTGTAGGATCTCACATAGTATGTGCAATTATTTTATTTTTAGTGTTTTATTTTTTTTTTATTTAGACAAAATTTTATTTTAATATTGGCCATGTATTGTTATTGGTCATAACATTTGTTTTGGCTATAATTCATATACATCCTATAATGTCTCAGTCAAACAAACTTGAAGGTGAAGGAAAATGTCTAGTGTGCAGTATAGAGTGATGGAAACCCTAGTCACTGTTTGTGAACCTGCGTATTTGATGTGTTTGACAGGGTTCTGGTCATCATCAGCACACTGGATGGGAGAATCGCTGCTCTGGATCCTCTAAACCAGGGACGCAAGCAGTGGGACCTGGATGTGGGCTCAGGCTCTCTAGTGTCCTCTAGCCTCAGCAAACCAGAGGTACTGAACGCAGTTTCTCACGACCTTTAAAATACACAAGCTAACAACCATCAGCTGTTTTTTTTTTTTTTTGGTTAGAATTATTAAACACTTTCTTGTAGTATTTTGCATTGATGCAACATAAGAAGGGTTTCTCCCCAAACATGCTCACTGCACATGTTTGTCTGTTGTTCATAAGAGTTTGAGTAAATGTGTGCCTGTGTGTGTGAGTATGTGTGGGAAAAGGTGATGTTTGTTTGAACCTCTTTACCCCAGAAGAGCATGAGACATTGCCCAAAGGAAATTGGATCTGAAACAAGTTACACACACGCGCAGTAAAAAAAAAAAAAAAGATGCTCCTGAGTTCATGTTTTCTTCAGTGCTCATAAAGGAAGTGATAGCCATGCTGGGAGGCCATCAGCTTTTTTTTTTTTTTTTTTTTTTTTGGTTAGAATTATTAAACACTTTCTTGTAGTATTTTGCATTGATGCAACATAAGAAGGGTTTCTCCCCAAACATGCTCACTGCACATGTTTGTCTGTTGTTCATAAGAGTTTGAGTAAATGTGTGCCTGTGTGTGTGAGTATGTGTGGGAAAAGGTGATGTTTGTTTGAACCTCTTTACCCCAGAAGAGCATGAGACATTGCCCAAAGGAAATTGGATCTGAAACAAGTTACACACACGCGCACACACACACAGACACACATAGATCACAGACTTGTACTCTCTAGAGACTGAAGACTAGCCTGGAGGAAGAGCGTTTGGCAGCGATGCACTTTTGCGTCTGTGCGCATGCACACATTTACACAAACACACGGAGAAAACATTGGCGCTGCACTAACAGGCTTATAATTAGATTTTTGTACATTGTTACAGAAGTGCTTGATTAATGCTAAGAATTAGTGGTGTCTAATGATGTCATGATCTGTTTTGACTTTTTTTTCTCCTTTTTTTACTCTGTGTATGTGTGTGTGTATATAGCTTAATGAGCATGTGTGTGAGTGATTGTGTTGACCCCCTGTCTGGTTTCGCGGTAACCTGAAATCCATTGGCTAGAATCTTCCTCTCCCCTCCCCTTTTACCTCTGGGTGCCTAGCAAACAGCCATTCTGATTGGCTCTAGAATAATGGTTTTTGATTTATGAGTAAAGTAAGATCTGTCAAACCGATCTCATGAGAAAACGTAACTATTTTAATAGTTGGCGATTTCATGTGAATTTGTACAGTTTTATTTGTATGAAAAGCAAGCATGAAGGGTCCACCTCAAAGCCTAAATCTCAGTCGGGCGAAAGCAGATCATACAAAAACACACAAATGAGATAATAGAAATTCATTAGCAGTTGCCAACAATTTGGCAAATTGTCAGGAGAGTGTTTAACAACATGTGAAGAACAGACTTTCACGGTTTTCTCTACAACATACTTAACCACAGGCCTTATTTTACTTCTAAATTGAATCGTTCTGAAACCCGTATATTCCAGGTTGGCCTACAAATTGATGTAACAACTGAACGACTTTATTACGTTAGGTAAACTGTAAATATTTTGGGTTGTTGTTTTGCTTGATAGCATGTCATCTGTAGACCTAAGTGTGTTTATTTGATTTTAAACTGTATGTAGGGTGCACTAAAGTGATTTTTGTGCCAGGAAAAGTGTGAAATGATATGTTTTGTGTGTGTGGGAGACAGAGAGATTACCGCCGAACAGGAAAGGGAGAGGGGATTGCGCCTAGCTTGATGTAATGCTTTGTGTCAGACTCAGTGGAGCGCTATCATCTGCGGGAGGTCATTGAGTACAGAGGGATATCCTGCCTACATAGACACACTTCATACTCAAACCTGATGTGATCCCTTAAGACAAGGGCCAGACTGCCTTTGGCTAAATTTCTCAAATTGAATGTGTCAAACAAGATTCCAGAAGTCATTGCCCACAACTGAACTGAGTATTTGATTCATGTTGTGCTGCTATGGGCTTCAGTCTGATAACATGCTTTCTTTGTCCGTATGGTCCCTACTCTTTAATGAACACGATGGCAAAGTAGGAATCATCCAATTTAAAGGAAACTGAAGCCAGCGTTGCTTAGTGTGTTCCAGTATATCTGGGTTTCTGATTACAGTCACTGCAAAAGCTCTCAAATTTCAACCATATTCATGTACATTCAAATATGATGTGGCAAGTTATGGTTGACAATTAAAGAGAGGATATTACAGAAATAACAAAATCTTGATTTGCCCATCAAATTGCCCATCAAAACTTGATTTAATTATTGAGGCCCATCAAAACTACAGCTTCTGTGGCATTTTAAATGATATACATGAGCAGTTGACACCATATTTGCCACTGAAGTGCAAAAAAGAGCTCTGCTAAATATCCCCTGTCAGAGAGCATTTTCAATACCAGGCTACCAGCTTGGTGCTTCAGTCCTCCCTGACATCCAGTGCATGACAATTTGTGCCATGTGTCTTTTTACTGAAGCTTCACATTTGTTTAAATACCAGAGCACACTGACATGAGATACTGTAGAGGTTAAATTACACACTTCGTAAAAAGCAGCTGACCTTTTACATTTACAGCTTGTAGTTAAGAGGTTTAAAAGCTGGTCTTCCTTTCATGTAAGCCATAAAACCTCCTTGTTGTGTAATAAAAATTCATTCTCTGAAAAGTCACTGGAGCCTCCTTATGCATGTATTATTATTTTTATTTTTTTTTATTTGGACACTGGGAGTTTTTGGACACTGGATTTTTTTTTTTAAATGAATGTAAAATGGTATAGTATATTAAAAATAAAGCCATAACAGTAACTTTTAACCAGGTGTGAATGTATGTAGTCAGTTCCTCTCAAGTCCTAGCAGAGTAATCACAGGTGTAGTTCATTAAATTAGCTATCGTCCTCTAACTTTTTTTTGCAGAATGATTTGCTTAAAGTCTGTTTATCTTTCTTTAGAATAAATGTACTGTAAAATAAAATAAATGTGAAATAAATGTAGTTTTTAAAATAAGTTTGTTTTTCTCCAATGCCATGAAATTGAGGTTTTTATTTTATATAACTTTTTTTAAATAATTATATTATTTTAATACATTATCATATAGTTATATTAATTGAGACAAAGCATTACATTTTTTGCTTGCATTCTAGTTTTTAAATAGATGTGTCATTTTGTGTAGCTGACACTGTAGCTATTCAGAAGCACTCTTTTACAGCTAATGGCATTAATGAAGTTCTGGACATTGGCTGGGGTTAAATCCGTGCTCTTCTAATTGATTGGCTTTAATTGTTCATTGATTTTTAGGATGTAGTAGGGCTGAGGATGATTGAAATCTCACCCAAAGTCAAGCTCCTGTAGAGCTCAGACAAATAGAGATCAGACAAATAGATCACATGATGGATTAACACAATGTAGCACAGTGATGAGTCATCATTGCAGCACGCACACACACACAGACTCACTTTAAACCTCTTACCCTCAGTAATGGACATGAAACCACCCACATGTGATGGACAGATGAGCTAATCCCTTCAATTCTCAGCCAATCACAGTGGATGTTTTCGTTCTCCAGGTGCTTGCTTTCTCATGGTGTTTCAACTTCCTATTGGTCCATACCAGTTGTCAAGGTTAGATTTAGCACTACAGGAAGTCAGTGATCTCGCCCCCACCCCCTCCTATTTTCTAATGTGTCTGTTTGAGCTGAGATCACTTTTTGGATTAGGAACAGTATAATATCAATATATACAGCACAATATCCTTATATAATGGCCTTTTCTTTTTTATCAGTGTGTCTGTGCGTGTGTGTGTTCAGGATACTTGTGCCCATTAGTCCCTGTTTATCCTTAAGGATGTGTAGGATTGTGTAACTCATCGGACAACATTAGACCAAGCGCCAAATGTTAATGGCACCCTGTGATAATGCCACGCACAGACTCAAAGCTGATTGGTCAGTCTCAGTTTTGCCTGTCCCCTTGTCTCTATCCATCATGGTCTGCTCAATGTATCCACCCTGCTGCTGCTGATGATCGAAAACGTGAAATATTTCCCAAGATAAAAATCATGTGCCACTTTGACTCATTTACCACAACAATCAGATCAAAAATAATAAGATTCTCATGAACTCTTTCTGTTCTTCAGATTTTTGGGAACAAGATGTTCATTCCCTCTCTGGATGGAGCTCTGTTTCAGTGGAACAGGGACAGGGAGAGTATGGAGGCTGTTCCATTCAGTGTTGAGTCCCTGCTGGACTCCTCGTACCGCATCGGAGAGGACACTGTGATTGTAGGGGGCAAGTCCCTCACCACATATGGCCTTGGCGCATACAGCGGCAAGGTAACTCAAACCCTTTTTTTCAATAGAACAATAAATGATTGATGTGCTGTTGTGGCAGTATGCAAAATCTTTTATCATATAGTATTGGTTGTCCGCTTTAACCTCCCTCTCCTTTTCTCTGTAGTTGAAGTATATTTGTTCAGTAGTGGGCTGCAGTCGGTGGGGAGACGAGGAAGGAGAGCCAGAGGACGTACTGTTATTCCAGAGAACACAGAAAACTGTCAGAGCCGTGAGGCCTCGCAATGGGTTTGAGAAGTAAGAAATACCCACAGGCTCTGTTGAGCGCTTCATGTGACCATGCTTTTGAGTTCACAAATGATACAGAGGTAGATTGGATGCACGATATGCTAGCTTGTATCAGCATCGCATGGTTTGGCAGCTTGATATTGAAAAACAATTGTAGAATAGTAGTCGTCCAGGTAAAATGCCAGTTGTTTTCTGTTTTCTCTCCCTGTTAGATGGAACTTCAGCGTGGGAAACTTTGAGCTAAAATTCATCCCAGAAATTCAGTCCAACATCAACTTTCTGGAGGGGGAGGCATCTAATGGGGAGACGTGGCGAGAGGTCAGACATGAAGCACAACGCGTCATCCAAGAGGAAACCGACGCACAAACCAAAAATCATGCAAATACGCATCCAAACTCGCACACTCGGGTAGAGGGCTTAGACCTGGTCATTAAGGTTTCTGTGCCGGACTGGAAAGTCATGGCCTTCAGCACCAAACCAGAAGGACAGCTGATCTGGGAGCATCAGGTAACACAACTCAACCTGTTTTGTTGCCGTTTGGAGTCTCGGCTGAAACTTGTGATGAACAAATTCACATTTCTCATGATTTCTTCTTTTATTTCCTTTTTGTAAAGTTTTGCACACCCATTGCCTCTGCATGGTTGGTAGGAGGGGGGAAGGTGACACCCATTAGCCTGTTCGATGACAACTCTTATAACTCCCACACTGAGACTGAAGCTCAGGAGGATGATGACATCATGGAGGAGGCCCGCGGGGCCACAGAGTCCAGCGTTTACCTGGGTAACACACACTTGATATTTGTTTTACACACATGAGTGTGTAAGAGAACCTGTTTACATCTGGTATAAAAATTGGTATTGGCTGAACCAGTTAATAGTCAGGTCTAAATACAGGTGTAAACTGTGTCTCAAATGTTTTTGGGATCCCTTCATTCAAGCTACATTTGGAGGTGGTAAATGCTATTGCATCCTGATGCTTCCTGGGCAACAGGGAAGGACCGCGTCCTGACCTGTCAGTCAACCGTTACGATAAAACAAGGGCTATAACTTTGACTTAAAAAAAAAAAAAAGCTGTTTACTCAAAATTTGAAAAGCCAACTTTAAACATAGTTAATACAGTTGCTCAGCTAAAATTAGTATTCTGTTCATTTTACTCATTTTGGGTTCAGTAAGGGTTTTTAATTGAAAACTTTTTTTTTTTTACTTGAGCAAGGATGCATTAAATAGATTATCAGTGACAGTAAAAACATTTTTATTGTTTTAAAATTCATGATAAATGTCATTATTTGAAGTAATGTTCTGCTTTTCTGTTGAAATTTCTGATCATGAAAGATTAGAAAATTAAATATTAAACAGCACAACTGTTTTTTTAACATTGATAACAGTAATAAATGTATCTTAAGCAGCAAATCAGCATATTATAGCATATTATTTCCGAAAGATCATGTGACACTGAAGACGGAAGTAATGGCTGCTGAAAATTCAGCTTTGCTATTACAGGAATAAATACAATTTAAAAATATTTTTAAATAGAACAGTTTTTTTGCAATTGTAATTTACTGTATTTTTGGATTAAATAATGAGATGTGCAGAATAGACTTCTTTCAAAACAAATTAAGTAGGTGGTGTATGCAATCACAAAATCCCGTCACAGGAGATGCATTTAAGACGCATGTAATTCCAGGTGTAAACAGCAGGTCTAAACATCTATTTGAGAAATAGAGACATGTAATGGGAATCTAAAATGTGCTTTCTCTCTCATTAAAGGAATGTTTCAGGGTCAGCTGTATCTCCAGTCCTTTGTGAGAATCTCCGAGAAGTTTCCATCAAAGCCCAAAGCTCTGAATGGTTGGAGCAGTAACAGTGACATGATGCCACCACCTATGGTCAAATGGAAACCCCTCATCCGTGAGTTTATTACACCTCATACAAACAAATATATGTACTAAAGACAGTGTGATGTTGTCAATAACACTTGTCCATTTCCTCCTAGATTCCCCTTCCCGTACTCCAGTCCTGGTGGGCTCTGAGGAGTTTGATAAATGTCTGAATAATGATAAATTCTCTCATGAGGAGTACAGTAATGGAGCTTTGTCAATACTGCAGTACCCGTATGGTAAGAACAACAGTCCTACAGGCCATTTCAACACTTGGTTTGACTGTGAACGTGTGGTTTGAGAGAGAATTTGAACTCCTCACCTTCTTCTCGGTTTCCCAATGCAGATAATGGCTACTACTTTCCATACAGTCCTCGTTACCGCAACCGGCGTGATGAGACGGCAGTGAGTGTTCTGCTGAAGAAAGATGGAGAGGGGTCACAGGTGAGAAGGAAAGACCCTGTGCTGCTTCTGCCGTGGTGGAAAGAGATTCTGGGTACCATCATCTTCTGCATCGCTGCCACCACCTACATTGTCCGCAAGTTCTTCCACCCACCCACAACATATGTCCGGGTAAACAAAAACTCATAATTCCCACAAAACATCATGTTTTTTTATAGTGTCAAAATAATGTCAGTGAAAAGTCATGTTTAATTCAATTCATTCATTTTTAATTCATCTGTGCAGCAACGAAAGGAGTCTGAGACTCAGTGTCAAACTGACAGCAAGTTTGAACTGGACGTTTCAGAACCCAAAGAAGTTGTTGTCACAGAGACACGTCCCTGTGAATATGTCTCTAGGTAAGTGAGCGTGCATTTTGAATTTCATATTTATGTTAATATTGCTTTGGGGTCCATTGTAAGTTTATTAGTGTAGGATGAACAACATTTTTGAAGAACTCTGCATTGTCTGTTCACTGTTTCTGTTTCTGTTCATTAATAGGAGGAGTATATTTATTAATTTTGCCTAAAACTAAAAATGAGAATTAGAGCAATATGCCATATACACACAGGCATGCACACATATAGTATATAACATAATGTATTAGTTTTCCAGGGTTTTTAAGATAGGAGGGCAGCAGCTAATAAACACTACAGCAAACTCACAAAACTAGTAGTAGTTCAAAGAAAAAGTTTTCCGAAATAATGCCTGTTTTCAAACACGACACATTTTCCATTATTTGGACAAATAGGTAGATACTCTCACCACTGGTTGAGCCAGTGTCTAACTCAGTCGGGGTGCTCAAACACATTGTACTTCCATTTGGTGCTTCTAGAAGCAACTTTACCTTTAAATAAAAAGTTACAAATGGCTCTGTCAGAATTACAGTTGGAGTTCCTCTTTTAAATGAGGAAATTCAAACCCATTTCTTAAAATAGTTTACACTTGTTTGCACATGGTACATTGGAGACTTGCAGTTGCTGAATGTGGAATGCACAGATGGCATCGTGATCATATTTTACTTGTAAATTCTCATGGGTAAATGCACAGCTATTATGACTCAAGTGCTCTTGCTGTGCAGTTTATTTGTTGTTTGATTGTTTTCAAGTGGTGTGTTAAATGACTAATTTATACAGTATGTAACTGTTTTAGTAGGCTTCTCTGTTGAGCTGTTGAACACCGCCACACAGCATACAGTGGCGATTCAGATCAGCAGAGCAAAGTCCAAAGGAATATTTTCCTAACTGATTTGTGTTTGTGTATATCAGGTACTTGACAGACTTTGAGCCAGTGCAGTGTTTGGGACGTGGTGGATTTGGTGTTGTGTTTGAGGCACGCAACAAAGTGGACGACTGCAACTATGCCATCAAGAGGATCCGTCTACCCAACAGGTATCAATCAACATAAAACATTAGCGCTCCATAAAAGCCATCATTTGGGATACAGGTGTGTGTATGGTTGTCTTTAATGCTGTGTTTGTGATTATAGGGAATTGGCCCGTGAGAAGGTCATGCGAGAGGTGAAAGCTCTAGCTAAGCTGGAACACCCAGGCATCATCCGTTACTTTAACGCTTGGCAGGAGAGCCCGCCGCAGGGCTGGCAGGAGGACATGGACAAATGCTGGCTCAAAGATGCGAGGTGCGAAAAATGGCCTGGAATGTAAACTTGGTGACTTTTGATGAATTCAGGGTTGTTGCGGTCATGGATAGCCAGAGAATTTTTAAGTCATGGTGATTTCTAGGCCTTTAAAAGTCGTGAAAAAGTTCTCTAGCGAATAAACATTTTTATAGTTGTTCTTAGTTATACAATGTTTTATTGTTATGAATATTTAGAGATGTTGCAATGTCTATTAAATTATTTTTTTAATCATACTAAATACAAAATGGTGTAATTATTAAATATTTTACATTGAATTTAAAATAAAGTCAGATCTGTTGCCTAGCACATTTCTTATAATGTTATTATCAATGTTGCTTAATATTTTTGTTGAAATCCATGATACACTACGATTCAAAAGTTTGAAGTAAGATTTTAATATTTTAAAATCTTCAAAATTTATAAAAAAAAAATAATAATAATTAATACAACGTTTATTCAGGTAGGACGCATTAAATTGATCAAAAGTGACAGTAAAGACGTTTATAATGTTACAAAAGGTTTTTGTTTTTATTTATTTTTAAATGTTCTTTTTAAATTTTTTTAAAAAATTTTTTTAATTCATCACCAAATAGAAAGATGGAGAAAAAATTATGGTAAGACTTTCTATGAAGCCTGTATTTATAATACATTATAAGGGTATTCTCAAGGCATGATAATGAATGCATAATGCATTATAACAAACCTTATAATATGTTGTATCATCTCATAAATAATCATAACAATAATCTTACTACATCTTGTGAGAGGTTAGGAGTGGTTGAGTGTTTCCTGTGAGGTTAATATTAATTTTTTTCTGTGAGCTAGTTTAAGATCAGTTGTAATACTTTCAAATGAAAAAAAAAAAAAGATTTTTTTTTTTTATATTACATTTTATTTTGATGGTCCCCTTAGTCTATTGACTATAAGCAACTTCGCAACTACATGCCAACTAACTGTCATTTAGAGCATTAATAGACTTAGGTTAAGGTTATGGTTGGTAGAATAAGTCTTAGAGTTGAATGTCTGTTGGGGAACCATCAAAATAAAGTGTTTGCAGATATTTAGCAGACATACTTATACTCCAATGGCTGCTAGTTGACATGTAGTTGCAAAGTTAATTATCAACAGTTGTCTAAAGGGTGCCGGCAAAATAACCATACTGATATCACAATAAAAATAGTTCAAAGCAAATGTGAACACATTCATCTGATATCCGATTTGTTGGCTGTTTTAGAAAAAAAAAAAAATTATTATTTGTTATTATTATTATTTATAAGTGGTCTTTGTCTGCTTTAAGTAAAATGAAGTTACTTTACTTAAAGTAGACAGACCACTTTTAGATGTTTTCATGAAGACTTTGTATTTGTCATTCTACAGTAAAAACACTAAGATGCACAGAAGTTATTGTGCAGATCTTAGACAATGGCAAGATATGAGACTTATTGGGAAATATAATTCATTGTAACTTAAGTGGATGCAACATGTTCATTGTGTGTTATAAATCATCATTCTCTTAAATGCTATAACCACAAAAATGTATTATAATACATTAAAACTGTTCTTATGGTAATTTATGAGATGATACAACATATTCTAAGGTTTTTTTATATTGCATTATCCATTCATTATAATGCCTTAAGAATACCCTTATAATGTATTATAAATACGGGCTTCATAGAAAGTGTTACCGAAATGGTTTATTTTTTTATTATCAAATTAAATCTGGTGTATCTTAGTGAAGCAAGGGCATTAACTGTTATTTATTTCTACAGTACCGCTGACTGGCTGCTGAGCTCTCCTGATCACATGGAGGCGTTCTCAGTCAAGGTTCCTGTGGCCACTCCTTCTCCAGTGGACTCCTCATGCATGTGTGCGACTGGTGGGGACATGAGCGTGTGCGTCGGGGATCAAGTGTGTGTGGAGGGCCTGGGGCCGCACAGTATGATGTCAGAGCGTGACAGTCAGGCTGACCCAGACGCTGTCCTGGAGGTCTCAGATTCCCCACACTCCTTTGAGCTCTGCCCTCCCCGCACAGTTACTCACGGCGACTGCACTTCTTCCTCCTTCGATATCGTCTTCGAGGACTCAGGTTGTGAACACCAGGACAATGACAGTGACGGAAGTACACCAGTGCCACCTGCGTGCCTTTCACAGTCTGACCCCAAACCTCAGTGTAGTGTATCAGCGGGACCTCCCGCTTCCTTACCTTCAAGGCCCACCTCTCTGAGCCTGGCCCCCAGCACCCCCTGTCCTGCCACGCGGCCCCCGCTCACACCTAAGGTCTACTTGTACATTCAGATGCAGCTGTGCAGGAAGGAGAACCTAAAGGACTGGATGGCTCAGAGGTGTCTGCCTGAGCTCAGGGAACACACTCAGTGTCTGGACATCTTCTTGCAGATCGCAGAAGCTGTGGATTTCCTGCATAGCAAAGGGCTTATGCACAGAGATCTTAAGGTAGGTGCTGAAAAGGAAACGTACTTGCAGTGAGGGAGTTTTCCAGAGCAAACTGCTCATTCATTTTCTTTTCTTTCTTTCTCTTTTTCTCTCAGCCATCTAATATCTTCTTCACAATGGATGACGTGGTGAAGGTGGGAGACTTTGGACTGGTCACTGCCATGGATCAGGAGGAAGATGACGAGGAGCTGAGTACCCTCACACCAATGCCAGTCTATGCCCGTCACACTGGCCAAGTGGGCACTAAACTCTACATGAGCCCTGAACAGGTCAGTTCCAGTCACTCACTGCACAAACTGCACACAATTGAGTGTGAAAACAGTCCTGGTGTTTAACATAAAACTAGCGAAGGAAAACGATCAAATTGCATGGCAGGAGATAAAAACAGCATAAAGGAGGGATCTGAGAGTCATAAGCTGCGTTTCCACTGTCGGGCCAAAAGCGGGCGTGCTAGTGCGTGCCAGGGCCAGTCGCGTTTCCACTGTCACTTCCGGGGCTTGATCGTGCCTTGTCGGTGCTTCCTCGGGGCCAACGGCCCGGGTTTTTTGACCCGACGAAAACCTTGAGCCAAAGTGGGCCAGCTGGGGCTAGAGGAGTGGTTATGAACAAAGGCGGAGTTTCTCTGCGTCTGGAGAGCACCAGCGCCGTGGATCATTTCATAAAGTTAACAGCTAACACCAGCATTATAAAGA